GCTCAGTGCTTTGAGCATTGGCCTGCTAAACCCAGGGTTGTGAGCTCAATCCTTGAGGAGGCCACTGAGGGATCTGGGGCAAAATCAGTACTTGGTCCTGCTAGTGAAGGCAGGGGGCTGGACTCGATGACCCTTCAGGGTCCCTTCCAGTTCTAGGAGATGGGCTATCTCCATATATATATATATATATATATGGAGCGGGGTGGGCTGAGGGGAGGCATTCCTTCCTGACCCCACAGGTCATCAGCCCGTGCCCTGAAGCATGACGTTTGCTGATGTTCCGTGGTATCTTGGCCTGGGAAGAGGGCAAGGGACACACAGCGGCAGCAGAAGTAGCCCATGTGGGATGAAATACGGTGAGGGAAGCTGGAATAAGAGGAGAGTAAGACACACACCTGTTGTGGAGGTGGGAGTAGAGACCAAAAACTGATTTCCCTTCCAGCATCTTTACATTTATAAGTCTCCACTAGTCAGAAGTGATTAATCTTTAAAAAAGAAAAAACCCGCCTTCCAAGAAGAGGTCAGTCCCTGGCAAAAATAGAACGTACACATCAGATTTCAATGGCTGCTGTGTATGTTGAAATATTTTGATTAAGGCTTGCTTACCCTTTGTCATGTGGTGTAATCATGAAAACTTACTATCTTCTTACCTATTTGCCTGTATAGGCTACAAATCTTGGTTTGTAAACTTAGTGCCATAATGACTATACTTTTCTTACCCTAGAGTTTTGTTTGAGTATCTTCTGAATTACTTGGCTACTGATTGACAGTCATAAACTCAGCCTTTAAAGGTAGACCCGTCACCTTCTTAGCTCTGTCTCATCTTCCCCCCACCCCTTTTTTCAGTTATTTGCTCCATATTTTCTGCTTTTTTTCCTCACTTCTGTACAGCTTTGAGTCTCCAATCCTTATATGTTTTCAGGGATGTTTCCGGGATCTCTTGTCTGTAAAGGATTCATGACGTTGTAACCCTTCTTCTGCGAGCTGTAAATGCTGCTTCTGCGATCTGAAAGTTTATGGGAGGGAGGGATAGCTCAGTGGTTTGAGCATTGGGCTGCTAAACCCAGGGTTGTGAGTTCAATCCTTGAGGGGGGCCATTTAGGGAACTGGGATAAAAATCTGTCTGGGGATCGGTCCTGCTTTAAGCAGGGGGTTGGACTAGATACCTCCTGAGGTCCCTTCCAACCCTATGATTCTATAACATTAGGGATGGGGAAAGGGATGTCATGAAAATTGTGGTCCAGTGGTTAGAGGCCACGGGCCTGGGCACCCAGGGGTCTGGAGTCTCATGCTGGCAGGAATCCATTGGAAGCGGCACAGCTCAGGTTTGCGAGTGGGTAGCTCTGACCTGGCACAGCCCCTGAGTACGTACTCGGCTCGTTAGCCCGCTCTGTCTTTGCTGCTGCTGCTCCCTGTGCTAGCTGGAGTCAAGCTCCCTCGAGCCGCATGGACATCCCGGGTGATCTAAGCCACGCCCCCCGTGTCAGCCTTTCCCGAGCTGTAAACGGGGTGGGGAGCCACTTACTCCCTGCAATGGCCTCCCGTCAGAAGCCCAGGTGATGATTTTCACTAGCTAGTGTTAGAGCAGTAGGGAGGATAAGACCCCGCTGCGAGTCCGATGAGCACCTAAATAGAGAGGGTGCCTGGGCGCTTTCCTTTGCAGCTCTCTGGCTGCTGCTGGGAACGTGGGGGCGGCTGCAGTGCCCGCCGAGAGGAGTGAGCGGGGGTGTAATTAACCAAAGGAAGCTCTAACCTCATGTGTAACGCAGCTTCTCTACGGATCTGAGCGCTCCGGGCGAGCACGTTCCATCCCAGCACCACAAAGCACTTGCCTGCTAGGCTGGGAGACAGCCTGCCCGAGGGCCGTGACAGACGCTCCATCGCTGGGGGCGTTTAAAACTAGACCAGCCAAACACGGGAAGCCAGGCTGTGAGAAATCATCCGCATTGCTGGGGGAACGGGCTCCACAGTCTGACCGGGGCTTTTCCTTCTCTGGTTTCCACCAGGA